GGCAGGAGCTGGGACCGAACAACGGGAGCTCACCCCATCATGGGGATTCGAACTGCCGACCTTCCGATCGGCAAGTCCTAGGCTCTGTGGTTTAACCCACAGCGCCACCCGCGTCCCCAGGATAATGTTTCCTTGACACAAAATATTTGTCCACACATCCTTGTCCCCTGCCTAGAAAGCACAGGTCCAAGAGGTTTTCCTTACTTTCAAGGCATGGGTCCGAACGGTTTTTCATTCGTTCAACTGCTTTTCCCTGGGAATACCTGCTGTTTACCACTGAATCGGAACAAATGTCCATCTGCAGAAAAACTGCTTGACATTTTTTTTGATTCAGCAGTAAACAGTGGGCTTTTCCAGGGGAATGCAGTGGGACAAGCAGATGTGTAGACGAGCCCCATGTCATGTAACCTCCCTGGAAACAAATCAGGGTGAATGCTCAATAAACAGGTGGTCTGGAAAAGCCCTACAAGTTCTATTGTGACATAGAATACATTAAAAGCCACTATGCTGGGCCCATGTGATGCATTAAACTAAGGTATCCACATGTTTCCACCTGTGGGGTAAACAGCAGCTGGGAGTGTTGATTTTAATTGGGAAAACTGGACTGTGGTCCCAGGCCAGTTTCTCCCCCTCCAGTGGTTACACACACACACACACACACACACACACTCCTGACAGGTTGTTCTCTCATGTGTATTCCTGTTCCATTAAGATATTCCTGGTCAGATCAGCCTGCTAGTACCTAGACACAAAGCCTTGTGGGACTACAGATGTATCCATGGGAAATCATTGCAGCAAATCATACGAAATGTTTTTAAAATAGTAAATATAATTTGACTAACCTATTAAGATCGAATGTGACTGGTTCGTCATTCTCGTGAATACACACAACATCCATTTTAGTGAGATTTAGTTAGCCACATTATACCTGGTCAGGTAACCTGTCCATCTAGTCTATTATCTCCTCCGAGTCCAGGCAGAGGCCTTTTCAAATCTTCTGCTACTTTACAGTGGTACCTTAGGTTACAAACGCTTCAGGTTCCAGACTCCGCTAACCCAGAAATAGTACCTTGGGTTAAGAACTTTGCTTCAGGATGAGAACAGAAATCGCGCGGCGGCGGCAGCAGGAGGCACCATTAGCTAAAGTGGTACCTCAGGTTAAGAATAGTTTCAGGTTAAGAACAGACCTCCAGAACGAATTAAGTTCTTAACCCGAGGTAGCACTATATATCATTTTAACTGGAGACCTAAGGCAAAGAACCTGAGACATCCTAGATGCAAGGCTCTGGGAGCTTTGCCAGCAAGCAGCTTTGCCTTTTTTTGTTGCCCTTCCCTCTTATTCTAAACTGATCTTGACAGGCAGAGATAGGCCAATAAAAACCCAGGCTCAAATTGTTTTAGTGGTGAAGTAATTATCTGTTCCAGCTTCCTCCTTTGAATTTAGCAACTGTTGGAAAGTCCCTGCAACGATAGCTCTAAACTAATGATTAAAATAGCTTATAATTATATATTAAAAAGGTTCTGAGCCCAAGAACAAGCATGGGGCACAGGGCCACAAAACAATGGCAGAAGAGAACCTGCTCCAGTTGTTCCATTTACTCTCACTTTCGGCAACAGAATACAGCAGCTTTAAAAAAAAACAAAGTAGAAGAAAACTGGTTGTCTCTTTAAATACAGGAAACGTGCGTTGCTCACATACTTTGCTCTGTCTCTCATCTTTTGGTTATCTTTGGCTGATCAGCGAGGTCAAGGGAAAGGGAAGATGAGTTTCAAGCCGTGTTTCCGAAGTAGCACAGGCGACAATGAATATACATATACAGTGACTCATATTGGCTGTCTACTCTTGTAAGCAGTGCAGTGCCAATGCCAGTTCACATGGGTTGGCGTAAGAACGTAAGAGGAGCCTGCTGGGTCAGGCCAATGGCCCATCTAGTCCAGTATCCTGTTCTTAGTGTGGCCAACCAAATGCCACTATGGTTGTAGTGCAGGTGGAAGGAGATTGTGAGCACACTTCAGAAACACGCAAGGCTGAGTGTGTCCTCCAGCTGTGTTCACATAAGTAACTGTTTATGTCAGATAGCTAACCAGTGGCCTCTTAGATGTTGTTAGACTACAACTCCCATCAGCCCCAGCCAACATGTTCAATGATCAGGGATGATGGGAGTTGTAATCCAACATCTAGAGGGCCAGAGTTTCTCCATCTGTGCTTTACGTATAAACAGTAGCATCTATGTTCCTTCGAACTTAATCTGTTCCAGGAGTCCGTTTGACTCCCAAAACCATTTGAAAACCAAGACATGGCTTCCAAGTGGTTGCAGGAGATTCCTGCACTAAATCAGAAGCCACGGAAGCTGCGTCGGATGCTTGACTTCTGAAAAACGTTTGCAAACCAGAACACTTACTTCCGGGTTTGCTGCATTTGGGAGCTGATTTGTTCCAGAGCCAAGCCGTTCCGAGTACCAAGGTACCACTGTATTGTGATTATACAGCATTAATTTAGCCAAGCTATGAGTATGGGAGCCCCTCCCCCCAATACTTATCCTATGGGAGCTGCAAGAAAATATGAAGCATCCAAGGAAGAGCCTTGTGTGGGACCACAAACAATTGCAAAAATAAACTGAGGAGGCAGGGAGGGGTGGCGGTGTGTAGAATTTGACTGAGGCACATTTGTTGGAATCCCTATTTGCTTAATTTCAAATCTGTACGATTACCACAGCTGAGGCCTCTTGGAAGTTTAGCACATTTTGCAAGCCAGAGCTAACTCACAAGGAGAATCCATAGCGTTCATTCCGATTTACTTCTGAGTAAACTTTTTGTTTAAGGTTTGAGCGCAAGTTTGTAATAAAACAGAGTTGAGTGACCACCTGTAATGGATTCTTTAGTTGAGTTTCCTGGGTTGAACTATGTTATGTACTGAGTTGAATAGGATCCAAAATGCAGCAGTCTGATTGATCCTAGAATAGGATCCAAAAAGCAGCAGTCTGATTGGTCCTAGAACAATGCAGCAGAATGATTGGTCCGCAGGAGCCACCCAATCCAGCTCCAGGTGGAAGTGAATCCACAACCTGCTTGGCCTACAGGAGAATCCCGGAATTAGCCAGTCACGTGCAGCCTATTGTGTAAATAATGTATATAAGGCAGACATTCTGGGGGAACTTCCATTCCTCCTCACCACTATGAGCTGAATAAAGAGTATGAAATCCACTCTCGACTCCGAGTATATTTCAGACTAGATGTCCCTTCGGGCTCCCTTTCCAACTGTATGATTCTATGAACACGTAGGCTTCACATTCAAGCTGCAGGCGCGGGAACGGCTGCTCCTTTTCGGGCTTTACGCGCCACACGTGGTAAGCTCCTTCCGCCTCTCGGGCCTCTCCGCACTTCCGGAGGCGGCCATGGCGAGGAGGAGCTGGCCATTGCGCTCCCCAAAAGGGAGGAGCCACTTCCGCGTCCTTCTCGGCTCGCCTCCTTCCCTCCCCATTCGAGCAGTTTCCATCGCTTGCGAGATTTCCCGGACAAAAGGCTTAAAGCGCGGGGGTGAAAGGTGGTAGCCCTGCAGCAATGGCCATTGTTCACGCCACCCACACAGTTTCTTCCTCCTTCCCGCCTCGTTCCCTTGTCATCTGGCAACTGGGTGTTATTGGGAGGGAGGGAGGGAGCAAAAGTTTCGGGAAGAGTCCCGTTTCCCTTGGGAGAAGCGGGGTAGCGCGCAAACGCCAAAATGAGCAAACATCCTCTTGCTAACTAGTAACACGTTTCGAGTTATTTATGTGAGAGCGAGCGCGGGTTATTTCCTACAGCAGAGTCTTGCCAGTTTTCTACAAAACGGAAAGAAGGAGTAACGCGGGGAGGGAGGGAGGGACTGCGAGTCAACACGAAGCGACTCAGCTTGTAAAAATGCAAAGGCGGCGGAGGCAGCAGCAGGGCGCTGTTAAAAATGGAGGCAATCAATTTCAATCAAAGCAGGCAGCTCCGAGCCTGCCCAAACTGGAAGGCTCTTCGGAGTTGGAAATCGCAGCTACAGCCCGTACAATCTAAAAGGAGCTTCAAATGTTCCCGGGGAGGTTGGGGGGAGGGGGGAGAAAAGAGGAAGGAAAACGGGGGGGGGAGAGATCTGCAAAGCCTCGCTCCGAGAGCAAGTGGCCTCGTTGCGCCGCAGTGGAAAATGCACTGGAGGCGCGCTCTTTCATAACAGCCCCTGCATTTTGAACTGTGGTGCCATAAACATCTGAGGGCTTGTGTGGGTGACCCTTTGCTGTAACATGAGCACATGGAAATAGGAAAGGGGGGGGGAGGAAATAGTGGTATTTCCACTTCACTCTAACCTTCTGTTCCACAACTTAAGGGCAGCGAGAGAACTGATTTAAACTTTAATCGCCTTTCCTTCCCAGATGCAAATCGTAGAGTTCGGCTGAGAGTCACGTTCCAATGCATGTGTCTTTTTCCTAAGCGGAATCCCGCCAAAAGAAAAAAACGGAGGGCACTAGCATTTGAGTGAATTGGGAAACCATCTGCTAAATAATTAAAAGAAATGGGGGCGGGAGCAAAGGCAGAAAGATGAAAGCGGTACCACTGTAGAAAGCTCGTCGTTCAAAACATCCCCTCCCCCAATTTGTAGTTTCTCAAGCGTGCAAGACAGAGAAAGAGCCTTTTATAAGACCTTTCTAAAAAGCCGCTCGCCCTTGCAGAAACAATTCGCCAGTGTTGGGATCCAAATCAGTAGCTGAAAACTACCGCAATCGGGTCTGTAAAAAGAACAAAAACGAGGATTCTGTCGAACAGAAATCTCTGAGCTGAGCAAATACCACTAATTCACTATTCTAAATCCAGTGTTGTAAAAAGAAGTAGGGCGCGCACTCCTTGTCCCTTACTGATGATTTAGTTTTAAATTCATTCTCCGCGAGGAACAACTTTTGCAAGTTCTTAATTTTAGACTCCAGCCTTACGCACGCTTACGCGGAAGCCAATCCTTTTTTTTTTTTAATTTTAACAGAACTTACTTCCAAGTAAATGTGCCTCAGATCACACAGCCTTGCCCTACTCAGCTCACACAGAAATGAGCCCAGCTCGAGCTCACTCGGGATTTCCTTCCGAGTAACGTAGTCATAAGGTTTCAACTGCCCGAGACATCAAATATACTTCCCTTTAGTTGTGCGCGCTCGGTGTGAAAAGAAAGTCTAAAGTTGACTCCCAAGTTTTTGCTTTTGTTTCCCTCTAAACATGGAGGAATGGAGGAAATGAAATCGCGAAGACGGGCACTGTAACAGCGCCCCAGAAAGCTGCTTCAAAGAAAGACAAAAAGAAATGGGGCTGAGAGCAAGGAAATTTTGCAAGGAAACAGTTTGATCCCGCCTTTAAGGAAGGAGAAGGGAGGGCAGGCCGGAGTGGTTGAAGTGAATAGCGTCACATGTTGCATTCAAGTCCTGACAAAAGAGTCTTATCGAGTCCTCTCCCCGTTTTCTAATTAGAGGTAACTTGCACAAACACTGTACTTCTTAAAAAAAAACCCCTTTTAAAAATAACAGAGATCGCCTTTAAAAAGACCCTCCTCCCCCTTTTCGCCCTTCTTGAAAGTTTTTCGCCCTCCTTGAAAGTTTTTTTAGGTTTGACCGCATGGGTGATTCAGACTCTACGTCAGTCATCTTCCCTCCGCCTTCTTCCTCATTTAAATGAATTTGGAGCTCCTCCCACGGGGTAAGGTCTGAAACTTTATAAATTGAGCTTTACGCAAAACTCTTCTGGAAGGAGAGAGAAGGGAGAATTGCTGGAGCTGGAGGGGGCTAGAGGAGTACCCAGGGAAACTGGAGGCTGTGCCTTACAACACTGTGATTCATTTTATTTTTCTATTCTAATATACTTATTCCACGTCTTCGCCCCTCCTTTTGGTAGCTGAAGATGTCTACAGCCCTCGTGTCTCCAACCATCTTCGAGCTGAGTGAAGTTTTATGCAAAGTAAGTTGTAGCCCCTATTATCTCTTAAAACTTCTCAAGGGAATGGTCTCTCACTCTGCATCTGTCAACAGCCCCCCCCCCCCACGTCCCGTTTTTGCTCCAATATTCAGCGTTTTAGGAGCCTAAAGTTTTGCTGGGTGGTGCGTGTTTTTAAGCAACGCAAAGTTTTGTTTGGGAGTTGGTCTGGAGCCTTGAAGAGTTATTTAGGCTGCAATTGTGAGCACGCTTACCTGGGGGTAAGCTTCATTAAACTTAATTGGGCTTACTTCTAAGTAAGCATACTTTAGATTGCTTTGTTAGGGAGATTTGCCTAGGAAGAAGTTAAGGTAGGTTATTGCGCCAAATCTAGTAAAACGCTGTTTAGGGTACTGTCACAAACTAGCCGCCTTCGCTTCCCGTGTTTTTGACTTTGTTGGACTCTCTTTGGCTTTTCTTCCGTTTTTTCAAGAGTTTCAAATTTGGGTGCCTTCTCGAAGAAACTTGTTAGATGTTTTCAGTGACTTGCTGGGATTGCATTCCGAAATGGTTGCCATGCAGTTTGCCCTCTTGCTTTTTGGCTCAAGTTTACAACGGCTGGTCCTTATTCCTTACTGAAGATTGAAAGCCATTCAAATGTATGAAAGCTCGTTTTTAACGCGTGCAGAAGTGACTGGCCCTCTTATTTTCGTGAATCAGAAAGTGTGTTTAAGACGGCAGCCCCTTTTCTTGTGGGAGTTGCCCTTCATCCTAGATTCTGTGCAGTACTTTGAACTAAGGCGTGCCGTGGTTCAGTTTAGACTTTTGCTCATGTTGTGGAATGTGAAATTTTAGCAACTTGTGCATAGGGAGCCGAAGGTCCCTATTGCATTTCAGATAGCAAAACCAACCTCCGGGGTTCACTGGAACTCTTAACGCTTGTCTTGGAAAGTTTCTTGCTTGCAATGACTTGCTCAGCCACACGTCTAATTGCTTACTCGGGGTGGGGAAAGATGGCTGTGGCCACTTTTCCCCAAAAGTGGGATCTGTTGCTGTTTTTCACGTCTACTGGCTTCTCCTTGGTTGGAAAGGCGAAAATCGGGTGTGTGCGCGCGCGAGACTGGATGGAGATGTGGAACTGGGGCTTTTGCAAAAGAACGTTTGCAGGCAAGTCACCGGCCCTTCCCGCCTCTAGTTCTGCAGTTTGCTGCTTCTTACAGCCAGCAGTTTACCAGGCTTATCTCTCATTCCACTCAGGCGGCTGCGTTTTTCTCTTTCAAGCGGCCTTATCTTTGCATACCCGAAGTCTTTGCCTGTATGCATTTCTCCTACGTTTATAACCAAGTTGGAGGAGAACTTGCTGGTGGGTGAGATCAGTGTTGTGGGAAAGTTAACAACTATAACTAGGTTGCAAAGCACTACTTCATTGAGAACAATGTCACATTGGAACTAGTAGTTTAAATTCTGAAGTTGCACAGCTGATTGTGCTTTTTCATGGACCCCTCATAACTTCCAAAACGGAGCAAACCTGGGTGTTGGTTTTCCACTTACCATTAAGTGTGTTGAATATGGATGCACAACAATGACTTTTTAAAAAAAGTCTCATAGAGTAAACATAAACCGGACCAAGTCTTGCCTTTTACCAAGCATGTCTCCTTCCTTGATGCTTTCAAGCAGTTTAAAACTGAAGCTGCAGACTCTTCTTTGCTGCCAAATGGCTAATTGCAAAGGAATCCTCTTGCGGTTATGGGTGAATTTTGCCATGGATCACATGAAATGCAATTCCTGTGCAGGAGGTGGAGCAAGAGGGATGGGATTAATTTAGATTAGTAACTAGCATGTTTCCCAAAGTCTCACACCTCTTTTCAACTTGAGTCTTACACACTTCCCCCACCACAGATTTTTTTTTACTCCAGAGTGGGATGTGTTGTATATAGCAATATTATTATTATTAATTATTATTGTTTGCCTGTATTCACTTCTCTCCCTCCTCCTCCATCCTTTCATACTGGAAGGGGCATGGGAGTAGGGGTTGAAGAACGTGCTCAGAAATTTGGGAGTAACTAGGTTAGGCCTTTAAGGCATAAATTGCATAGTGGAAGTATTGAATCCATGCCTAGCTCGGAAAGGAACATGCTTGGGGGGATGTGGCTGCTTAAGGAATAGTTGGATAGGCCTTTGCCTAGGGCAATGAAACAACATGTATTTCATTGTGGCATTATGCTTGGATGGAACAAATGAACCTGAAGCAAAAGCTGTTGTATAGCAGCATTGTTTACTGTGCCGCTTTGGAAGTATTTTGGCATACTGTATAGCTGTTCCCTGATAGAAAGAGGCTCATCTTTTAGATTGTGCCTTTCATTTTCCTTGACCCAACCTGTGGTGCAGAACAGAGTCTGGGGGCTTTGGGAGAGCCTATTATGCACATAAGGAAACTGGGAGGGAGGTATAGATGCCAGGTTTTAGGCTGCATCTTGCTGAAAGGTTCTTGAGGAAGTTGGGTTGTTGACTGGCCTCTCCTTTTCCCCCCGCTATAGAGTAACAAGATGCTGAACTACAGCCCTTCTGGTGTCGGAGGGTGTCTCTTGGACAGAAAGGCAGTGGGAACCCCAGCTGGCGGGGGTTTTCCCAGGAGGCACTCGGTCACCTTGCCCAACTCCAAGTTCCACCAGGCCCATCTTCTCAGCAGCCTCAAGGGGGAGCCAGCCCCAACTCTCGGGCCCAGGGAGAATCGCTTTCGGGACCGCTCCTTCTCTGAAGGTGGCGAGCGCTTACTGCAGCAGAAGCAGCCTGGCGGACAAGTCAACTCGAGTCGCTACAAGACGGAGCTATGCCGCCCCTTCGAGGAGAACGGGGCCTGCAAATACGGAGACAAGTGCCAGTTCGCCCACGGCATCCACGAGCTGCGAAGCCTGACCCGCCACCCCAAGTACAAGACGGAGCTCTGCCGCACTTTCCACACCATTGGCTTCTGCCCTTACGGGCCTCGCTGCCATTTCATCCACAACGCTGAGGAGCGCCGCGCTGTAGCCAGCGGCCGAGATCCTGCCATGGCCGACAGACCCCGCCTCCAGCACAGCTTCAGCTTCGCAGGCTTCCCAAGTGCCATTGCTGCCAACGGGCTGCTGGACAGCCCTACTTCCATAACCCCTCCGCCCATCATGAGTGCTGACGACCTCCTGGGCTCTCCTACTCTGCCTGACTGTGCCAGCAACCCCTTCACCTTCTCCAGCCAGGAGCTGACCAGTCTCTTTGCTCCCAGCATGGGGGTGCAGATGCCCGGTGGGGGTTCGCCCACTGCTTTTCTCCTCAGACCCATGTCGGAGTCCCCCAACATGTTTGACTCGCCTCCAAGTCCTCAGGACTCTCTCTCCGACCAGGAAGGCTACCTGAGCAGCTCAAGCAGCAGCCACAGCGGCTCTGACTCGCCCATCCTGGACACCTCGAGACGCCTCCCCATCTTCAGCAGACTCTCCATCTCTGACGAGTAACCTGGTGTTGCCTCTCGGCCTCTTCTAGCCTCTCTTCTTACAATTTTAAGCTTGTAATCTCTCTCCTTCCCACCTCAGCCCCCACCCCCAAATCTTCTTAACATCTCTGGGTTAGATGTTAATGCAAAGATAGTCCACTTGCCTAAAGTCCACTCACTGGCTGAAACCACAAGTGCCAAAATTACAGCAAAAAGTGATAATCGTTTACAAATGTAGTGCCTTTTTTTAACATGTTCACTGTGACTATATTACCTCTCCAGCTGCAGAGGGCACCAGCAGCCTCCACAGAGCTCTGTGCATTTCCAGATGTGCAGGGAATATCCGGAACCAGCAGCTCCTATCACTGGCCATGATGCAGAATCTTCTTTCTTTCCCCGCCCCCTTTCTCTAGCCAGTGTTTTGTAGACATATGGCATGTGGACGCCTGTTAACATCCAACCCTTACCACCTTTTAAAGACTAACCTTGCCTGAATCTACTCAGGTCAGCCAGAAGAACAGCTGAGAATGGACAGTAGCTGTCACATGCATGGGACTTGGTGACTGGAGAGGGAAGCCAGATGGACAATGAAAGACTTGCTTTTGGTGCTACAAGTTCCTCGTGTGTACATGTGACACCTTCAAAAGCGAAACAAAAAAAAAGGGGGGGGTGTCTAACGGTGTTCATTCCACACATGCAAGTTCTGTGTAAACAAAGTTCCAGTAGTCATAGCTTTAATGGTTTTGCTCTAGATTACAATAGACCTATCCATAGAGCACTCACGCCAAGCTTTTTATTTTTATTTTCCTGGGTTTTTAATTTTGTATAACTTTTCAGAAATTGGAGAGCAAATTTTGCTTGTCACTGCACAACAATATAAAGCTTATTTAACTTATCAAAACGTATTTATTGCTGAAACCTATGCTTTTTTGTTAATTTTGTTCATATTTATCTGGATGAATTCATAGAATATATTCTTTTATGTTTAAATTATGATCTTCCATATTAATCTTAAGATTGTGAAGTCTTTTTCTTTCCCCCTTCCCCACAGTTTAATATATTATACTACAATGACATTTTTTGTAACTTTACACTTTTTTGGTTATTTTATTTTTAAAAAATGAAAAATTAATTTAAAAAAAATGCAACAGCTGTGTTTGGATTATTTATTTTAGATCGTTCCCCTTTTTGTGTCAGACTGCAAATTGAGTTTAATGTGCTTCTTTGCCTCTATGCCCCAACAAGGCCTTTCCTGGATGGGATGAAATTCTGGCCACACTGCTGTCATTGAAGGCTTCATCAATGACTTCAGTAGGGTCACGATTTCACTTCTGGCC